ATAAAGTATAAATTATATTACTGACTTGCGATAATTTTTTCGTGAGTACGTAAATACGAATGGATTTTTTTTTATATTCGGGCACCCGCATTTATATCTTTTATTATTTTATAAATGCGAAAATATGTATCAAGAATTAATTATTATCGGGCAGTTTACCACACATTTTAAGTCCATGGATCGCCGTTGTATTTTGTAAATACGAAAATAGGAATCAAAAATTAATAATAATCGCGCAGTTGACCACACATCTATGTACATAAATTGCCGTGGTATTGTGCCCGAATATAATTAATTTTTGATTCCGTATTTCATTCCTTGAACTTAAATATCTGTTTTTATAAATTTTGCAAGCAGTTCACGCACGAAGACTTTGAATAATGATGTATTAGTCAAATCGAAGTCCTGTTAGACCACTGGTTCTCAACCAATGGGCCATGGGCCACTGGTAAGCCTCAGAGGCATTTTGAGGTGGGCCACAAACATATTATAAATTACAAGGTTTGTTGATTGGAAAAATTGATTTGATGACAAAATCAGCTTCACGCGTCATGAAAAACAAGATATCTATTTGCAAAACATGCCTCGCCGTAACCCATCCATTGTGGCGCAACATACCCATTATACGGCAGGAACAGCTAGATATGAATATATATATAGTAATTTGTTTGCACATTACATCAAAATTAAAAAGAATATAACGAGAATGTCATGGCCTTCAAAATTCGCCAGGCTCGAACTGAGCATAACATATAAAAAATTAACAAAAAACGAATCCACGAGGACATTGTCTCATAAATACGAACAGAACAAACATTAAATTACCCAATTCCTAATATATTAAATTTTCAAGTATTCCTCACAATCCGTCGTAAGAAATTTCATCCACTTCTTCCTTTTAGTGTTCAGCTTTTTAGTGACTTCAAACACCTCATTATTCTTCATTCACTTCTTCCTTTTAGTAGCCCCTATAAAGTTTTTAGTGACTTCAATCACCTCATTATTCGTCGGAAATTTTTTTATCCACTTCTCCCTTTTAGTGTTCAGCTTTCTAGTGACTTCAACCACCTCATTATTTCATCTACTTCTTCCTTTTAGTGTTCAGCTTTTTAGTGACTTCAACCACTTCATTATTCGTCGGAGGAAATTTCATCCACTTCTTCCTTTTAGTGTTCAGCTTTTTAGTGACTTCAACCACCTCATTATTCGTCGGAAGAAATTTCATCCACTTCTTCCTTTTAGTGTTCAGCTTTTTAGTGACTTCAACCACCTTATTATTCGTCGGAAGAAATTTCATCCACTTCTTCCTTTTAGTGTTCAGCTTTTTAGTGACTTCAACCACCTCATTATTCGTCGGAAGAAATTTCATCCACTTCTTCCTTTTAGTGTTCAGCTTTTAGTGACTTCAAACACCTCATTATTCGTCGGAAGAAATTCATCACTTCTTCCTTTAGTGTTCAGCTTTTAGTGACTTCAACACCTCATTATTCGTCGGAAGAATTCATTCCTTCTTCCTTTTAGTGTTCAGCTTTTTAGTGACTTCAAACACCTCATTATTCGTCGGAAGAAACTTCATTCACTTCTTCCTTTTAGTGTTCAGCTTTTTAGTGACTTCAAACACCTCATTATTCGTCGGAAGAAACTTCATTCACTTCTTCCTTTTAGTGTTCAGATTTTTAGTGACTTCAACCACCTCATTATTCGTCGGAAGAAACTTCATTCACTTCTTCCTTTTAGTGTTCAGATTTTTAGTGACTTCAAACACCTCATTATTCGTCGGAAGAAACTTCATTCACTTCTTCCTTTTAGTGTTCAGCTTTTTAGTGACTTCAAACACCTCATTATTCGTCGGAAGAAACTTCATTCACTTCTTCCTTTTAGTGTTCAGCTTTTTAGTGACTTCAACCACCTCATTATTCGTCGGAAGAAATTTCATCCACTTCTTCCTTTTAGTGTTCAGCTTTTTAGTGACTTCAACCACCTCATTATTCGTCGGAAGAAATTTCATCCACTTCTTCCTTTTAGTGTTCAGCTTTTTAGTGACTTCAAACACCTCATTATTCGTCGGAAGAAATTTCATCCACTTTCCCTTTTAGTGTTCAGCTTTTTAGTGACTTCAACCACCTCATTATTCGTCGGAAGAAATTTCATCCACTTCTTCCTTTTAGTGTTCAGCTTTTTAGTGACTTCAACCACCTCATTATTCGTCGGAAGAAATTTCATCCACTTTTCCTTTTAGTATTCAGCTTTTTAGTGACTTCAACCACCTCATTATTCGTCGGAAAAAATTTCATCCACTTTTCCTTTTAGTGTTCAGCTTTTTAGTGACTTCAACCACCTCATTATTCGTCGGAAGAAATTTCATCCACTTCTTCCTTTTAGTGTTCAGCTTTTTAGTGACTTCAACCACCTCATTATTCGTCGGAAGAAATTTCATCCACTTTTCCTTTTAGTATTCAGCTTTTTAGTGACTTCAACCACCTCATTATTCGTCGGAAAAAATTTCATCCACTTTTCCTTTTAGTGTTCAGCTTTTTAGTGACTTCAACCACCTCATTATTCGTCGGAAGAAATTTCATCCACTTCTTCCTTTTAGTGTTCAGCTTTTTAGTGACTTCAACCACCTAATTATTCGTCGGAAGAAATTTCATCCACTTCTTCCTTTTAGTGTTCAGCTTTTTAGTGACTTCAACCACCTCGTTATTCGTCGGAAACAATTTCATCCACCTCTTCCTTTTAGTGTTCAGCTTTTTAGTGGCTTCAACCACCTCATTATTCGTCGGAAGAAATTCCATCAGCTTTTTAGTGACTTCAACCACCTAACTACCCGTCGGAAGAAATTTCATCCACTTCTTACTTTTAGTGTTCAGCCTTTTAGTGTTTTTTAAATTTTCACCTTTGGGAACACTTCAACTTCCGTTTTCCCTCCACTTCATCCGTTTCTTCCTTCAGCCTTTTAGTGTTGTCCAAAAAAACTCGTCAGTGGTTGGAAGAAGTCCAACAATTTGGGAATATCGAAATTCAGTAAAATATGATAAAATAGATAAAATGAAAAGTAGTATGCGTTCAATTTTTAAGTGTAAACTGGTAAGGATTTTAAATTTATTTCTGTAAAAGCAAGCGAAAGAAATGATTTATTGTTATATTTGCACATGGATGATCTTATACATAGGTCAATCATGATTTAAGTTTATATGCAACACCATACTGTGAAAATTATTGAAATTGTATTATTGGTAGCCTACATCATTTTCATGAGAAGATGGTCTATGGACTGTGGAACATAGGTGGCGAATAGGAAAAAGCCAGTACAAAAGCTTGTTTTTTTCTATATTCCCTGTCTAATTTTTGTATTTATATTCCATTTTTCATGCTAACTAAAATAAACTGATTACCTGCAAATTAAAATTATATATAACTGCCGAGTGGATTACATGTGGATTAACTCAACTTCTTTGAACATATATGGATTATATTACCTTAAATTAATGACATCATGGTAATGGTATGAATTTTGTATTTATTTGGATTTTACTCTACTATTGCTGTATTGATAGATATATTGGGGGAATGGGATTTAAAGTGATAAAACAAAAAAACATGGAAACAAAAATTATGTACCGTATTTAAAATAAAATGATTCGATTCCAAAATATTAATACAAAAATTCCGTTTGGCATTGGAATTTATTTGGCAAAAAAAAAAAAAAAGAAGCTTTTGAATTCACAATGTTTGAATGTGGAGCTGCACAAAAATACTAAAGTATATGCGATATATTTTGAAGTCAGAATCTAAAATCTTTACGTTTCAAACCTAACTTGAGGTTTTGTTTGCTCTCCCGATTCTATAATTAGTTTTGTTTTGTTTTTGTCAATCACATTTTATCGCCTATTATGCTGGTTATGGAGTCGAAATGAACTTATACTTACAGTATAACTGTATAACAGTATAAGCTGTCGTACATTTTGTATAGCAGTATATAAGTTAGGTTCAGAAGTAGAATGCTTTGTGATTAGTATTTCAGTATTTAGCGCATGGGACTGCTGTACTGATGTAGGAGAGCATGAACTAGCCTATGCCCTATAGCGCGGCGGTGTGGCTCAACGGGCTAAGCGTTAGGAATACTCTAATTACTCTGCGTGGGTTCGCAGGTTCGAATCCCATGCAGGGATGGTTTTGTGCGAGAGGATTGCTGGACTCCTCGCCGTTGTTGGGTGGTTCACGTCACCGCTGGTCGATTACGGCTTCCTCCACCATCGAGTCCATGCTTCCGAAAACAAACAATATAACTAACCATACCCGACTTAAAATGGTAACCGGACGAGAGGCCATGGTTCGCCATATGGATAAGCCGTCTTATCGGCTTTCCTCTCCCCCGGGATAAGTATGTAAATCCTATCCTATATCTTTTTATTAGGATTATAACAGTATAAAGACATGTCTGCATGTATCGTAATGCTGTAATAGAATAGATATTTCTGTGCCTGAAATCCTAGAAATCAGGGGTTCCTGATTTTAGCGGCCTTTCGACTGACAGAGAGGTTTTGTATCACAGTACAGTAGTACTGTACCGCCGTACCGGTACAGCGGTATCAGGCGTTTATGCATTTCGAACCACGCAGGCTCAACTACAGACAGACAGAGATACGTTTATCAACAATGCGCAAGAGCTCAATTGTCATTATTACCTATTTCTTTGATCGAAGTGAAATATTTCATTATTTTTTTATTCTGTTATTGCTGTTTTATTATTTTTATAAATGGAGATAGAGGAAACCTTAAATTTTTGATTTAATTAAGTGCAACCTATTCATTTGCTTTATGTATCTCTGTTCGTTATGTCCTTATGTCTGCTGGTATGTTTACTATTTTCAGATTTTAGAGAGACCCCTTGCTGCAAGTATACCAATGTCTGAATGTACTTGTTTAGAGTCATTTTTGTGTGTGAATATTTCTAATCATTTCTAGATAAGATGCCTGATATGAAGCTAATTGTGTTATGTTTTGTTACATCTTTAGTGTCAATTAGAAATTTGAGGTATCGTATTATAACCTTGTGATTTAGGATAACAAAAACAGAATGAGGGAAATTCCTTTGTCAAATTGTGAATATGAATTTGTCACAAAATGTATTGGAGAATCTACAAGAATGGACGGAAGAACTTTTGCAGATTATCGGGAAATAAAAATAACTTTTAAAATGGATTTTGGATGTTGTATTGTCAGCTTGGGAAAAACTAAAGTTCTTGCGCAAGTCCGTGCAGAAATGGACAGACCCAAAGAAAGCAGATCAAGTGAGGGAAACTTGGGTATTTTTGTTGAAATGTCTACAATGGGATCACCTAGCTTCGATCCCACAAAACCAGGAGAACTTGGAATAGAATTGCAACGAATGTTAGAACGATCTATAATATTATCAAAAGCAGTTGACCTGGAGAGCTTATGCGTGCGAGTTGGAGAACAAGCATGGAATGTATCACTTCATGTGCAGATTTTATCCCATGATGGAAATATATTGGACTGTGCTTCTATAGCTTCGTTAGCAGCATTAGCACATTTTAAACGCCCAGATGTTTCTGTTATAGGAAAAGAAGTAACTGTTCACACTTTTGAAGAAAAACATCCCGTGCCTTTAACATTCAATCATCAGCCATTTTGTGTGACTTTTGCCTTTTTTGATAATGGTACCACATCCATTATTGATCCAACTAAATTAGAAGAAAATTGTTGCGATGGTAAATTAATGATAGCAATGAACAAACATAAAGAAGTTTGTTGCACACAGATGAGTGGTGTTGTACAAGTTAGTAGCGATCAAGTTCTAAAATGCACAAATATATCTTCAGTAAAAGTCAAAGAACTCAGTGAATTTGTAAAAAAAGCAATCGCAAATGATGAAGCTGCAAAAAAGAATGGTTTTAAATCGTCTGAAACTAAATTATCCTCTCGTTCAACAAAAACAAAACCAGATCTTGATCCTAAAACGCACATCGCGTCTGTCGAATCTAAAGTTCATTTACCTGTGATTCAACAAAATGAAGACGAAATTCAGGGGCCATTAAATAAAAATGAAACAAGACAAAAGCTATCATGGGTTATGAATAATGGTGGAAATACATTTACTGCCGGGGAGGACGGGATAGAAAATAATGCTAAGGTTGCCATGGAAACGGAATCAAAACAGACTGATGATGTTAAAATGGAAAGTGATGAAGAAGAAGATACAGTCATGTTGCAATTAACCTGAAATTTATTCTTTGTCTAAATATAATAAAATCATATTGTTAAATGTTAATTATTAGTATTTTTGAGCAATTCGAATTTTTTAAACATTTTAACACAAATTAGCATGCATTGTTCCCAAACAGACTTTTGGACCGTTACTCTAGTCTGTAGACATTTTCCATAATATTTATCCATATTCAACCACCTTTTTTTGTTGTGAATTCATTTCGTAATTTTGAAATGAGCTATGCAACAGCATGCTCTATGTTGTACTCAACTAAAATACATAGGTCTCTAGTTTTCAAACATTTTGAGTTTTGGGATATCCCCCAAAAGTCAAGATAACCCTTCTAACCACTTACAGTTCGTTTTTAACTTCTCGTCTTTTGAAAAACCCACAGCATACAATTATGGCTGTCTTTTTTGCAGAGTAAACTTGATTAATTTACACTGTGAAGCCAAATAGGGACAAATCTATGGTTAACAAACATGGAATCAGGAGATTTGAAACTAAAACAAGATTTTGAAGATCTTCAGCTTCAGCAAAGACAGAAAATGATTGACAGGATGAAGTCTAAGAGCCAACAAAGCAATACAAGCATGGTATCTATGTTTTTATACATGCTTTCTCCTTAAACAAGGCTCTGTATAAGCATAAACTGATAACTTAATGGAGATTATTTGGAAGGACCATGAGATTTTCGACCTAATTTATTAAAACTGGGTCTTGGGATTTGAACCAGAAATCGTTATGCTCTTTAAATCTACAGTCATGATTAAAATTGAATCAATTACTAAGCATTATAAACAAATAACAAAATATTAAATTTGTGTATTTTATTAACTATTTTCTTGTCAACCTCCACATATGGATACTTTATAATAATGCAATTTCATCACAACGTATCACTGCTGGAACTTTCTAAGATATGCGACCTGCCTCATAGAATTCTGTAAAGAGTTCTTTTTTTTCAGATGTCGAACAGTCAATCATTTGGTCTTGGTGATGATTTAAATCTTACGACTGAAGACGTTTCATCGAGTAATATTGCTGGATTACACACTGCGTTGGAAGATGCCAATACCAGGATGAGAGAAGAAATAAGGTGAATTTTTATTGTTGTTTATCTTGAAATTAAATTTGTTTTAAAAGAATTTCTGAGATTTTTTGGTTTGGCATTTTCAACCCAATAATTTTTTTCACCCTGGGTAAAGTATTCGGCCGATTTGGCTGAGAACTGAATAAGCATTAAGCAGTCATCAATTTGATCACTAATTACTATATTTTTTATCTTCTCAGCTTAATCCTTTCGGTTTGGCAAGAACCACTATAAGAAATTTTTACTCTCAATAAATAGTGACATTCAATTTTGTTTTCAATTTCAGGGAATTAAAAGATGAGACTGGTAGACTGAGAAAAAACTTAGCTGAGAAAGATTATGATATAAAATCTTTGAATAAAAAAATCCTGAAGATGGAAGATGACAAAAAATTGTTAGCAAGTATGTATCTTTCTATTATTAGATTACCTTTCATGAAACCTTTCATGTTCTGATTTAAAAAATGTAGTAAGACGTTTGGAGCATTGTGCTAATAATTTGGAACATGATTGTCATCGCACTATGATTACCCCTCATTCGCAGCTTTGAATCCTCGGAGAGTAAATTGAGTGCAAGACACTTTCTGTTCCCCTTACTGTTCTACAGTTCATCCAACTTAAAGTCCATGCATCTAAAATGAATAGCTGGCTAACTGTTCTCGTACTCGACATGGACTGGTAACTGGATGCAAAGCAATTCGGTATGAGAGAATTGCTGGACCAGTCCGTCAGACGGCTCACATAAAATTAGGTTTTTTGCTTTATCTCTGTCCATGCATCTGGAACGATTATTTAGTTACTTAACCTGTTTGATAACCAGACAAGAGACTGTGTTCTGCCATATAATAGCATATTTCTGTCTTTGGCGAAATTATGTCCCATTCAAATTCCCATTTATTTAATATATAAATTGTTTTTATGTAGGTGCTGGTGCTGTATCAGACACGGCTGCAATGAAAATTGTTGATTTATCGAAACGAAATCGTGAATTGACAGCAGAAAGAGAAGCAGAAAAGACTAAATCACTCAAACTCATGAAACAGTTGGCAGAACTTGAAAAGTCGGTATGTGCAATATGAGGTTTGATTCATGATTTAACTGGCATATTCTCATTCGGTATTTGATCAATTATGTCAAGATTAAACCGAAGTTTCTATTTTATATTCAATATTCTCATACTTGAACATGACTGATATTTACTTGATTAAGCAAATCTTTATTGGAATCACGAAATGTCCCATGGCTTCTCAGGTCTTATTAAGTTTAAGCCAGTTAAGGTACACTAATTTTGATTTTCACTTTTTTATGTCGGTGCAAAAAGTTGGAAATTTATTAGTTTGTCAATTATTAGATTCACAAATTTTCAATTTTAACGTATTCTCAGAAATTGTTTTTTCTCTACTTGTGTGAATAATTTTTTAACAGATCGTATTTTGTAATTTTATTTCTTTGTTTAACATAAAATTCAGACCAACACAACAAGTTCAAGTACTCCAAGAAAGAAATTGAGTCCTCGTAATACACTTGCTATCAATCCAGGTTTGTATTTTTTTTTTGTTTATTAATAAAATTTGCTCAAAGCAAGTTCACACACTTACTCAGAGTCAGAAATATAGGAGATTGATCTCTGAGCAAAGTTATTGGCGACCTCTGAACTGCCAAGAGCTACATAGACTGCAGTTTCTTAGCAATGCAATAGCAAGTGTATTCCTAACGTTTAGCACGAAGCCATAACTGTGAATCCTTGTCCCTGGTGCTAATGAAATAATTTAAATTTACCAGTGTTTTATTTTCTGGTCCATAGAAGTTCCATCAGATAATGTGGAAGAGTTAAATGACAAATTACAATCGTGTTATATAAAGATGGCAGAATACAGAAATCAGATACAAGAACTAAAACAGGAACTGAAGATTGCCAACAAAGTGAGTAGAAATTGCAAGTTATTTGTTTCAGATGCATGGACTTGATGGTGGACAAAGTTATAATGTGTTCAATTCTATTCACCATCTAAGAATAATCTAGGAGAATAACATCAAATTAAATCTATCAAGTTATCAACTCTCATTACCTTATCTCTAAATTTCAGCAAATGAATATAAGCTAGAGATTTTATTTCATATTCTACTACGTACTTTGTTACCTTACATCAGTGATTTCCAACCTTTTTCGATAGCTTTTTCGTATTTTGGATTTCTTTATTAATCCTTCAAAAAACTTCGGAGGAGCTAGTGCTATGAGCAACTCGCACTCTGACTTTTACACAGTTTCAATAGTTTCTAAGTACGCCCATGAAAACAGTAAACAACATCGATGAAACTATACCAGAAAGAAAGTAATATTTCCGCCCCCAGAACAACAAAATTCCTTTGATAAAAGATGCTCTAAATGCTGTTTCCTACACAATAAGGTTTTGCAACAAGAGATTGGAGAACCACCAGCGACTATGCAACTTATATTAAGCAGTGGAGGATCAGGATTCAGAGGAAGAACTCAACAAATAATGACATTGCAAGATAAAGTGAAGTAGGTGTTGAATGTTTCCACAAATACCAAAAAAATTAAGTCAGTATTCGAATCTGTTCAAAATTAATAAATATATATATTACTGTTAATTTCTTGATTTTAGGATTGTTTTGAATAATTTTGTTTTAAAAATATGAATTTCAAGCAGTGAAAGCCCTGCAATATGGCCAAAGAACACTTTATTTTATTTCTGAAAATTGTAAAAAATGAGACTAATGAGATCACCGTTTGTAAAAACTTTTCTGTATTTCTGAATTGTAACTTATTGAATGTATATCAACTTTGGCTTGTTCGATAGTTAAATATGACCCAAATCAGAATTTTTTTTTTTTTATATTTGAAACATATTCAGAATAGTGAATTATTGGTATTCGATTGTGGCCCTTTGTGGACGCTTTATATTCGACCTAATTCCATGCTCAATTGAATAACCATATTTGACTATTTCTCATTAATCTTGCCAGGGATTTAGAACAAAAACTGATGACTGCTACAGGACGAGTCAATTTAACCAGACCTGACAAGAATCAAGAAAGAATTAAAAACATGGAGAAACAAAGAAAAGAACAAACTGAAGTAAGGAATTTATTCTTGAGAAATTCTTGATCAGTTAAAGGGCAAGAATTTGTTAATTGGTACTCAATTAATCTATAATTTATTATGATAGGATTTTCATATTTATTGTGGGGGGAGAGGAAAGCCGATAAGACACACGATACATATTCATTAGTGAAATACTGAGAATATGATTTATTTTTCTTACCAGGAACTTCGTAACGAAATCATGAAGGCAAATGATATCAACATGGATTTACAAAGAAAAATTGATGCAACTAGAGCTCGAAATAAAGTTTTAGTGAATGAGGTTAAATCACTAAAAGCACAGGTAATATTAGACTTTTCAGTATGAATAAAATGCTTCTTCAGTGAATAAAAAATAGTTCCTCCATCAATTATTTCCTTCACCATATTTAATAATTTAAACGCAACAAACAAAAGTAACATAATAAATGCATTATGCTCAAAAGGATTATTAGATAAATGGAAGTCAATTTTCTTTAAATTATGACAGTCATTGCAGCCTTTGCTTGTGGCCTCCAGACCTCTCTGGCCCATGGCCCAGTTTGAGAGACCCTTGTCTATATTACGACTACGTTTAATATATGACTGAACATAATCTATTCTTCGATTGTATTCAGATTTCTGTCCTGACAGATAAAGGCACACATGATAATGAGTTGATTATGACTCTGATGAAGCAACATGAAAATCTACAAAAAATTGTCGAACATAATGTCAGTGCTAAAGACAATATACAGAAAGCTGGCATTGTGGTAAGAATTGAAATAACTTCTAAATGTGGTACTGAAAGAAAAAATTCAATATAGCATATTTTTGTAATTAAATTGTTAAATGGAGAAATGGTAGCCCAAAGAAATAGTTGAGCATAAGTTCACTCCAGAGTATACTTTTCAGTGGGTTATTCTGACCTCTTCTTGAGCAAATAGATTTTAGAAAAGAACCGTTTTATTGTTTTCAACAGTACTTTAGATCAGTATGAAAATAAGTACTTCCGCTAAAAGGGATCAAGAGTTTTTATTATGAGTGTACATTATACCAACACAAGTTTCATATATATAAGTATGGCAAAGCATACCTTTCATTCATTCAGCATTAAATTATTTATTTCATATTTGTGTTGACAAAAATTTATGAATCGTGTACTGAGTAGGTCTTCAATCATATTTAGATGTTTGATAATATCATTTGATTTAAATCTATTTTCTTACTTTATTGCCGTTTCCAAAGACCCAATAATATATATCAAGTAGTGAATAAACATTGATTAGTAAAGCTGTTTATTACTGAAGAAATCTCTATGACTTGTGTATATAGGATGTTCATCATATGAATTGCTAGTCTGATTTATTGAAGTTTACCATACAAAGTTTAATTAACACTGTTTTGTAAATTTTTTACTTTTGTTTGTGAAGTGTTATGAGTGAAATGTTCACAATCGTTTGTTTTGTTCAAGGCCTCGTAGAGTGTTTATAGTAATAATATTTTCAACACGTCATTGTTCTGGGAAGATTTTGCCATAAATGAAAGAGTGGGTTAGGATCATTGGTTTCCCACTCGAGTTTGTGGATTTACGATTAAAGAGTCAATGATTAAATGTCAAAAAAATTTTTTTTTAATTATAAAAAAAAATCGGATTTTTTAGAGGTGGCATCGAATAATAGTGTGACGCAATATTCATTACAGGAGGTAAAAAAATCCAAAATGTACATTTTCCACCATTTTCTCAAAGCAACCTTTTCTCTGTTCACCTTTATGGGTTAAAGTCCCTAATTTTAAATTCAAGAAATAAATGAATAAAAGTCTGGTGTTGACTACTGTCGTAACATTGAATCTGTATGTATAACAATACGTTTTATGAGTGGATTCTTACAATTCTTTTTTGGTAGAGAATCGCAACTTTGCTTTAAATTAATTTAATATTAAAATTATTTTATTTCATCCAAGTAGCATTGATCTTTTATAGTAATAACTTAGGTTTTCTCAAATTTATTTTGCCTACAGCAGTTGAGCTAGATCAATATGTTTTCTAAATATTTTCATTGCCACATTTTTAAGTACTCTCGATTGACTTTCTGTGTTCATTTAATAGAGTCAATATTTCCTTTTCAGTTTAGTAAAGAAGTTATCAGCCGACAACAACAAGAACAGGCAGAAATAGGAAGATTACGACAATTGTTATCAGAACGTGACGCAAGATTGAGACATCTAGAACAAAATATTCAAGAGTTGGTGAGTCGAATATTGTTTTCTTTGTAAATTAACTCCGTATAACAATAGTAGTCAAATAGTAATAATCAAACTCTTGCGTTTTCATATTTTGCTGAGGAGCTTCTCCATCAGCATTTTCTTCCAAATACCATCACCGATTTCTATGTATAATGTGTATAGTAATTTCTATGTATAGAACATCACAATTTTTTTGAAAATATCTATCAAAAAAATATAGCATTGAAAAAGGCTTACAATTGGCAGGGAATCGCATAATACCTGCAAGTATTATGCGATCATTTCCTTACAATCCAAAGTTATGAAGCAGTGTTCCCAAAGCTCATAATTCTCGTAATATAAAATAAACCTCGTAATTCTTTAATTATGCTGACTTGAAATTTTATGAAAGATAATTTCAGATAACTGGCAATTTCACCACAAGTAATCTATGACATAAAAGTGTTAGGCAGGTTTTAATTCTATCTTTTCAGAGGAAGATGGATTAAAATAGCAATATGCTTGTTTATATATTCCTCTCTAGCATTGTTCATGCCTTACCTATGGAAGTCTTCTAATTTGACATATTCACACATTCTCTCTTAACAAGGCATTGTAGAAGTAGTCTTTGATAAGAGAGGAACAACGTTTTTGCTATGATGGCGTCGCAAGTTTAAATCTAGGGTACAAATCCTATGCACATCACTTCATGCAGGGTGTATTCAATTAGATAGACAATGCAGAACTCTGATTATTCTGTCCTTTTAAACTGTATTCGCTCTTTGCCTAGTACTGCCTACTTGTTCTGAACAAAATGCTTATAAATATGTCGTATAAAACAGCAATAAAATTTGAATAGATTACTTTAAATTAATGTGTACTTTCATTTGCACAAAATTCTTTTCAAATCTGACAAACAATCACAATTTATCACAACGTTGTTTATCCATATTTTCTTTTTCCTCATTTCCTCATTATATAGATGAATGGTAGATCATCAAGAGAACCAAACTCATCTCCATCATATCAGCATCAACCATTAGCTGTGTTTTCATCACCTTCTACAAATAGTATTTCTGATCAGGTTATTAGCATTTTCTATTTGGTGGTCCATGCGTCAATCATTCAGCTTTCTTTTATAGTCTATAATGATTTTGGATACTACAGAAGTATGGGAACCATGATTGTGGCCACTGGAACGTAGTATGTGTACCAGGTTAGGGTTAGGTCATAATTCTATTTTAATTTTCCTTATTTTAGTTCTATTACGAGTTTGGGGACTAGCCAAGTGGCTTCCATAGTATTTGTACCTGGTATTATGGCCTAACCCCAACCTGGTACACATACTATGTTCCGGTGTCCACCATCTTGGTTCACATACTTTCGTAGTACCCAATTTGGTTCTTTAATCTGTTGCCCACTAAGTTGTTCATTGTGTAATTGTCCAATGTTTGAGCTTTGGACCCAACTTGAGTGGGATCACAAGTTAAAGACTCAAACCTTGTGCTAACCACTTCACTCAGAGTATACTTACCTGGGTAGGCAATGCTGAACCATATTTTTTTTAAAAATAGTAGCGACCTATGTTTGTTAGGCTGCTTATACAAAGCCTTATTTGGAGTGAAGTTGTTGAAATGCCTTAAAAATTTGAAGATTATTGATTTTTACCGACAATGTGATATTGATCTCTATCATCACAAAGAATTTAAGGAAATGTAAAATCACTTGAACCATCTCAACCATCCCATTTTAGTTTCTTCTACTCACTGGTTGGTAGAAATTCAGCACCCAAATCGATCGATAATGTATTCGCAATAGTAGAATATACAGTTTTGATCATTCTTATCACACCATATTTTCTATTCCTCTTTAATGCATTGCAGAGTGCAGGGAATCTTATTCTATATATACCATATTATATTCAAATTTTGTTGAATTTTGTGCAGCAAAACAGATCTCCAGATAGACATCCACTTACTACACCATCAACAGATAATTCGTCACCAGACAAAATGATTGTGGATAACAGGTGATTTTAGTTACAAATCATTCTTGTTAGTGAGAATTCGGTATATTTTGAAAATGAGCTCTTTTACCGTACTCCTAAAACAGCAAAATCTCTTCTTGGTTTTGCTTTCAAAAGTGAGATTTTTTTATTTTCAAGTCAACATTCTGGTTTTAACCAAGTGATGAGTTTGTATACTATGTAGCCAAGTGGTTTGCACATTCTGGGTATAATAAATTGGGCAGGACACTGTCCGAGTGGAAGGATTCTGGATATTTTAAAATATGGCAGACCACTTTCCACTGGTGGCTACTTGTCTTGGACCTTGATGGGATTAAACGTGTGTTGTTTATCATGTATAAAAGTTGGTTTTGATTTTCAGCGCCTATTTGCAAGAAATTGATCATTTACGAGTTGAATTAACGAAATATCAAGCATTGCACAAAGCAGCATCCATTGAATGTGAAAAGCTGACCGAAATTGTCAAAGTTCTTACCCAAAGGTAGTTTTTTTTTGCTCGTTCTATGTCCGGTTTCTTTCCTCAACCCAAAGATAAGATGAGTTTGTTGTAATAAACAAGAGAGCAATACTCCGATAAAGGGACATAAGAACACTAAATTTGCTGATAAAATGACAAGGAATATGGAGAGCAAGTTTTTGGTGATATATCAGGTCCCAAGAGAAAAAATTTGAAGAAACATAGAAGTGATAGCCTTCTGGCAAATCAAAATTTTGAAATTGATTTGTTCTTTAGTTACAGAGAAAAGCGACTTTGTTTTCTCTTCAGTAACAATAATATAAACTCCAACAACAATAATTTTGCAAAACAATTCATAGGTAGGTACATATCGTGTCCAAAAACTAAGTAAGATATACACAGGTAGTGTGAGTCTTTATCTTTACGCGATTCATTTTATTCTCGTATTGTAACCTGCTAGCCATTCCACTCGAATTGTGGCATCAAGAATGATATTTAAATTTAAATTAAGCTGTTATCCGAGCTTTGGAGAGTGCCCTAAGATTGTTAACTGAACACAAAACGCATTCAATAAAGATGTCATAACAGTCCTGCATACACTTTCAGATCTGAGCAATCTTCAATCTCATGTCAGGATTTGAACCGGACTATAAATGATGAGAAAAGAAAAACTGCAAAGTTGGAACATTCTTTGGATCATTTAAAAGCTTCAATAAAACAAGGTAATGAGAATTTTGATATTTCAAACTCAACAGTTCGCTATCAGAATTTCTATGGAAAAGGGTGTAAAATTATATATAAAATAACACGATAATTCATTGCAAGAACATTATGGTACTCTCGTAGTATGTGGACCAAGATGGCGGACACCGGAACGTAGTATGTGTACCAGGTTAGGGTTAGGCCATAATTTCATGTATAAATACTTGAGTCACTTGGCTAGTCCTTAAATCGTAATAGAACTAAAATAAGAAAATTGGAATAAAAATTATGGCCTAACCCTACCTGGTACATGTTATGGTGTCCGCCATCTTGGTTTACATACGACAGGAGCGCCAAAATTATTTGTTGGTAGTTTAATTGTATGCTAATTACATCATTAGTGATTTTTATCATTATGATTCTCTTAGTCTGAGTTAATTGAACAAAATCACAGTTAATGACTATCATTTTTAGTGCTACATATTGAAGGTAATATATATCTTTAACTATTTATGGAAAATCTGCTTGCTGACCCTGCCTTGAAATTTCGATATGCTTAGATTACTGTAATTCATTTGCGAATTTATCACACCATGTTAGATATTAGGATGAATGGATGATATCTAGTCCTAATCATTTCTGATTTTTTCCCTTGCAAGAGGCTACTGATTGCCATATACTCGGTAATGTTCGAAATATTTAGTTTATACTCATTAATTCATTATTTACTGGAGTGGAAATATATCTCTATTAAAGGATGTACTGGTAACTGCAGACTATTTTTGTTTTATTTACAAATTACAGCATACTTATCAAAAACATGTGAAAATATTTCTGATTTTATCATGAAAAAAGGATTTGTGATAAATAAAACAAAATATCTTCATCTTATCCAAATGTTATGTTTTTAAGAATCACCAATTAAAGAGTCATCATTGTCCGGAATTCCTCCAGAATCAAAAATATCAGAGTTAGAAACTCTTCTGTCTATTCAGGTATTTTACTTTGCTTGAAATTGACAGTGCAATCTTTTTCAACATTTTTATTTCTGTTCATGAAGTGTTTATTGTTTCTCTGTAGAGCTCAATATTTCAGTGACGGTACAGAACTCTGGCGTTTGTAAGTCATGTATGAATGAGATTGTGGTGCATGTCCTTCTGTTCACTCTTAACAAACTCTGTAAAAGCAGCCTGTCAAAACGTGAAGCAATCAGTTTTGGAAGGACTGTATTCTTTTCTGTTCTGCATTGCCCTACCAATTTATTACACCCCATCATGGGGTTCGAATCCAAAATGTTTAGCCTATGATTAATCAATTTATTTCGTAAAAGCTTGGAAAACTGAATGATTTTTTATGACTAAAAGGATTGATATTTGAATAAAATTGCTGAGGTACGAACCTACTGTCACAGACTAGCGTTTTACTGTTTAAATTAAAGAACATAAAATTGCAAACTAAAATTTTTCATTTCTGCAGTTTGTGATTGTTTCAAATTTTGTTATATAATTTTCAGACCGATGAAAATACAGCGTTGAAAGAATCATTGCAAAGTACATTACGAGCTAAGCAAGAAGATGTTGCAATGTTCCATGATTTGATGGAACAAACTAAAACTGTATTCATGGATGCACTTAGAAGCTTATCTTCAAAAACTCAATGAAACAAGCTCGTCTACTTTGTTAATATTATCATGCTGGCTGTTTCCTATTTGGTTAAATTTTTCGCACCTTGATTTGGCGACCAAACAGTATTAGGGGGAAATCTAGAATAGAGGTAAGATCGGCCCCAAAATTTCAGCCTGGCCTAACCCAGGCCCGTGGGTATTAAACCCGACCCAGCCCGACTAATTAAGAGGATTTGCAGGCCCGAGCCCGAAGCAAGCCCGAAATTTCATATTTTGTTTAGGAGTTCTTTGAATTGTCATTGCAAGTGTTTAGTACAATGTGTGTTTTATAACAAGTATTCCATAGTTTAGTATCCACACATAGTTCTAGTATATATTTTTTATAAACATATATTTATTTAAAGAAAATCAGCGTTAGAGAAGCCCGATCCGACCCGAACGTAATGATTGACATTTCAGACCCGAAAATTCGGGCTCGGGCTTCAGATCTTAGCTCTAGTCTAGAACAAAGCTCCCTTCTCTCTTTTCCCCGGAATAAATCTGAAAATACTGACTTATGGGCAGTATTCTTAGAAAAGTTGATGAAGTTTCTTGCCAAATTTTGATGTAGTGGTAGATATTTTGTAATATAACCTCACATTTATGGGAATGTTTATGAACTAGTTTATACCAAGTTTAAGTGGGATCATATCGGGGAAATATGTATAACATACATACATATTATTGCACAGTATGGGTTTTCTCATAAAGTATAACGTTGGAGTGAAAATCAGACAAAATTGTCCAAGGGGTAACACAGAGGAAATAGCCAGTAACGCTTCCATCTTCAATTTTGTAAAAAGGTTGTTTTAGAATGAAAGAAAAACAAACATTTTAGGTCCAATGAAAATCTTTTCGAAGTGATTCGTTATATATCCATACCCTGCTCGATAAGTTTCCCTACAATAATTTCATACTGTTTTATAGTATTAAAAAGATAGGACACTTGGGTGATCAATATCACATTTATTTCACCAACTACAGAATTGCAATTTTTGACACGCATTATTGTATCTAGCCCATCCCGTTATTTATATCTCTCATACTATCGTTTCGTTTATTTTTTAGTGCGAACACTCGTAGTTATTTTTGTAATATGGCATCTGTTATCCTTTTTATCTGTATATTCTCTGCGTTATCTTGTGATGTGCTTATTACTGGTACTATCTGTATTTTTTATATCCTTTTCTTCACTGTAGTTAGTAGAATTTATCTTTTCTTCGTTCACTGTATGTTCATGGATTCAATGTTTATGAATAAATATATTTTGTAGTAAAATGCATGGCAATTGCAGCCTTTACATCTCTGATAGTAAGCGTTTCTATTGGACGTTACTCTGGTCCAATTGTTAATTTGTCGTAGTAGGCGTTGACTTTCAATGGTGATAAAGTAAGTCAAAATTTACCATCAAAACTCGAAGTGAATTAATTCCACCCAGCGTTCTCAATATTCATTTAGGGAAGGCTTGCATGCGCTGAGTTTTTGTTATCAAAATTTGATTTTCTCTCATCCAGGATTCGATTGTATACCATCTCCTACTGCCCAGTCTTGATATTTCAGGCAAACGTGTATTTCATATAAATGAAAGTAAAATGATCAGGCAAAGTGCGTTTAACCTCACAAAAAATCTTTTCAAGTGGCTGTGGAGTTTGTTTCATTAGCAAATTGTGACTATTTGCCTAAACATTTCGTACATCGATCCTAATAAGACCTGCTCTTCGCCGTACAGACTTTCCTTTACTAATCAACATGCCCCAAACCAAGTGCGCTTGTGCGATATTGGTGAATATGTTGTCATCCAATACCCACAAATTATAATTGATATTCAACAATTGATTCCAAAAGTATTCAGATTTTTGGAAATTAGTCCTCGGCATTATTAGGCAATCGAGAACATTAGCAGTCGAGCGGTAAGAGAAAAATACACGCATGAGTACTTGACGAATTACTCCATAATGTACTCTACACGCGATATGCTTTGACAGTCACGTCGAATTAGGATTTACATATTTATCCCAGGGAGAAGAAAGTCGATCAGCGGTTACGTGAACCGCCGCGCCTAGATTTGCAAATTCACAAAAACTGTTGTGTTTTCACCTTCCCGTGTACCGCAAACAAACGCGATGGCTATTTCTTAAAACGCGCATGTAGAGAAGGCGAAAGCACAGCTTTAGGGGCGCAATATCCAGTTGAACAGTAAACAAGCATGTGCTACATTTTATGAGATAAGCTTTATTGCAATGGGAAGGACACTGGGGAAAGCTTTCTATTAATAACTGAGTTAATTTTTAACTTGATAAACTGTTTTGTGGTTTAGCAAGAGCGATAGATTCTCTCTCTATCAAACAATCTCTCAACAATATGTTACTACAAAATCGAAATAAGCACTAGGCAACACTCGGACGATTTATTTGCCCGATTTGTTACCCGATTAGACGTTGTTAGCCATATAGCAGTTAAGTATCGAGATTTATTGTAGAAATGAATTCGTAGCTAATGTGTATACTGTATACATTATACTGTTCTCGTGGCGTGGAGTAGCCTATGGTATTGTTCAAAACAGATTTGACGTCTATGGGTGTTAAAATGTCGCGCTTGCCTCGGCAAGTTTTTTTGGGAATTGTCACGTTGATGTTGATATGTCTCTTCTTAGTGACAGGTAAGAATTACGTTTAATGCTATTTCATGTGTATTTTTACGCTGAAGAATGAATTGATGTAAACGGCTGTTTACTGCTAGTCAGACATAAGTTCACTGGAATTATATGATCATGCCATCGGCTTTTTTTGTTCCGTGACAATTGTGAAATTTCCATCCTAATACAAATTTGAGCATTCTTTAATTTGCGTATTGAGAAAGTCTCGTTAGCGATGGACATCAGGAACACTCAGGTTTTGAGCCCTTAAATCCATTCGCGTTTTTCATTTGAAGTCTTTATTGGTTTTAACTTGAAAACTCGTACAGAAAGGGTGTGATCAGTTAATAAATTTATTGATTTTGCATTCGTATTTTGTCGTACTAACCCCTTTTGTATCATGCTGTTTATTACAGGCATTTTGTGGCTTTCTGTCTCACACAAACATGAGATTGATGAACTAAAGAACAGCCATGCCGACAAAATCCAATCATTTCGACAACAATTTAACAGCCAGGTAATATTGAGTAAGTTTAGGCTTCGAAAATTGTGTGTAAGTGTATTCAATTAATGAATCGGAAAACGTATTGTAAAGAATAAAATGCTGATCTGATAGAAACATTTAAATCCAATATAAGTTTGCTCTTAAAATGCCTTAGTAACATGTATATACATTAATTACAAACACTTGAATATGAATAAAACTACAAATAGACTGGACAGGTTAAGATTTGCCGCACCTGAAAAACTATTGATGAATTGTTTGCTTGGTGACAAGATTTCATCTATTCTAAGTATATTATGTTTGCACGTTTCAATGAGTATAACGTTAAGTTATGCTTGTGAAGTGTCATAAGGGAACAAAATTGACTAAGACATTTCCAAATGCAGATATAACATTAAGTTAACCAAAACTTTTCAATATGAGTAATATTTGATATCGTTGATGATCACAAAGATTATTATGTTAATTGTTGAAGGCAATGCACTTACTGAATCCTCCGCCTAGCAATTGCTGAACAATTCGCTCAAATATCTGTGTACAATATCATTCTCGTTTTGTACAGTAGCTGATCGCCATTATAATGTATGTGTTGTGCTTGTGACGGCGCTCCAGAAGTATGTGTACTAATATTGAGGTAACTAATTTAGCTTAGGCCATAATTTTATTCCGACATTGCTTATTTTAGTTCTATTACGATTTCGGGGACTGCTTGTGTTATCCAAGTGAATATACCCCCTGACCATGGGCGTCCGTCCCTTCACACAACTTGCTGTAAAGTAGGCGAACAAAATTAGTTACCTCCATATTGGTACACACACTTCTGAAGCGTTCTTTTACTTTATAGAACTTGATAAATTACTTATCGTAATGCTTGCTCGAGTGGATGTGTGCGTGTGTGTGATTATTGGTTTACAGTAGATCTCATAGGATACCTTTTTTGCTTCAAGATCAATCATTTTGCTGCAGAATACAAAAATAAAGATGCTTTGAAAATTAATCAACATAAAAAAGAAGTGGGAATGGTTCGAGATCAACATCAACAAGAATTAAATCGAATAATTTCGTCAATTCAGCAACAGTTAGACGATTTAAAAGATTTATCGAAAGCTTATTGGGATCAACATGCTCTGGTAGATGACTGACCAAACTGCAATGGCCAGAAACACCCACTGTCAAAAATTGAAGTTATATATGATTTTGTAGGGTCGGCAAGTGGCAAGTATTTTCGGTAAAATCCCACTGCCTAGATATGCGAGCCGAATTTTGCCTGTAAAGGTGCGTCATGTTGAAGTTATAGAAAGATTGTTGCTACGCTTTAAGTAAGTGGGTTTATGAAATTTAGCTACCTACACTGGAGTTCCAGTTAATACGAACAGTAATTTAATATTAAAAAGGTTTGAAACACCTGAATAAACGATAGTTTCTATACTTCCTCTATACCGCAACAATCTAACATGATAAAGCTCCAATGAAACGTATACTGAGAGATGCTTGGGAAGTTGTTATTATTAAGTTACAGGAACATTTTTGCCATTGCTAGATTCAGTGTAGAACGATCATTTACAGAAGGGGATTATTCGATGGTTTAATATGTTTATTATATTTGTATTGTACACAATGTTCGACAATTTTTATTGCAGAACAAAGTAGCCTACATTGATTGATCCACGTGATTGCTCAGTCATACGACAGCATTTATTGTATAATTTAATGCTATGGTTGTAAATTTATTTGAAGTCAGTGACAACCATGTTGAACAAATATTTCTTTATTAATTCCCCCTATTTATTATTTTCCTTCCTGTTCGCTGTCCATGGTAGGTAGGGATAATTCTCATATGACCAATCCTCTGCAGCATTCGAGAAAAGTGGTTTTGAGCTTGTAAGAACCCCTAAAAATTTGTAAAAACCCACTGTCCACGTGGAAGCCAAATATCCCTCTAAGACAGAGGCCTTTCAAAATACGATTTGAACCATATATCCCTTCATACTTTACCTTCAAACTATAGGCCACTGTAGAACTCCAGATGGAAACCTTTTACACGGACATGAAAACAACACAATTTTTACAGTGAAACTTGTTTATGTGCAAATTTTAAGAAGAAATATAAAAAGAGCAAGTTTTTGTCTAAATTTTCTACGCAGCAAAACAATAAAAATGAGCAAATAAATGATTTTCGACAAAAATAAATTACTGGCACACAGTATTTCTTGTAATTGAAAGATAGATGGAGAATAAGGAAAAATATCAACATCCAATTAAAAATAAAACTATTGCCAAACGTCAATTCAATCATGAACAATTCCTCAAAACGCTGGGTATAAATGTTTTTTTAGTCAAACTAAAAGCAGGTTTGTATAGAATGGAATGTTAGAAGAAGGAACACATAAATCATTACAAGGAGCGAGCTGAGAACACAAAAAGTAGGAAACACCCTTGTTTACTAACTGGGCGAGATTTAAGGTCGAAATTTGTTCTTCGACAAACCAAGTGTAATCATTAGTCTACCCCACTCTTTGTCTAGTTTTAGTCTGAAAATACAAATCGTTATTTTTAGTAGTTTTAGTCTGAAAATACAGTTCAACTTATTTGTCTGAAACAGTGTTCGGACAGAATTCCAATTACAACTCCGAAAGGCCACATATATCCATTCATATATCTGGTGAAATAGTACTTCAAATAAATTCACTAAAGCTGCATTCTTGACATGGAAAGAAAAAGAGAACATGGAATAAAAACGAAAACTATAAATATATTAAATAAATGAATAAGGCTGCTTATATATTAAGTAGATTTCTCAGTCATAAATCTGGCCCCCGAATATTTCTAACCCTAAACTAAGAAGCGCAACTTTGATAACTGTGATAAATGGAGCCTCTATCTTTTCATTCAATACTTCCAAAAATTATCTTTTTTTATGATTGCACTTGACATTATTTTTAACTTTAGGATTACGTACCCGCTAAGTTATTTTTTATTTTATTGTTGAAACATTGTATGATTAATTTGATAAAACGAGGCACTGGATTCGTTTGCATAAAACAGAATTCCAACAGAAAATCCAGCACAAACATTTTATGCGCAAAAATTACAATAAATATTTGGCTCACGTGACGATAATATTGTTTTTTATTAAAATCCCGCGCCACTGACGAATTATGGTCTGCACATTCTACAATCGTGCTTCTATAATGCAATACCCATTTCATTATTCAATGGTACCAGTTTGCAATATCACGCTTAGCATTCTACCTTCTAGCACAGGGGTGGACAACATACGGCCCATTTTGAACGGCTCGCTGACTGTACATCAGTACATTATGATATTCCATTATTACACTTTTAGTACATTATGATAAATTCATTATTGATTTTTTTGGTCTCTATTTATTTGTAGTTTAAACTTTACTTTAAACGCGATTTAAATTTTTCTTTCTTGCATTAGCGAATAAATATGTGATTAAGAGATTAAATACTATTCATCCGGTCCACCGAGGACTTCATTTTCCCACATCTGGCCCGCCGACTAGAGAAGTTGCCCACCCCTGTTCTGGCACATCTACCTTACTCTCATTAATTGAAGAATTAAACAAGGCAAAAAGCAACAAATATTTCAAAAATTTCCGGTGCGTCGTTCCTGTATCTTTTGGTAGCTCAATATCGCATCAAACTTCACCAAATAACCGCTTAATGAGTAATGGTGGTGGGAGTCCAACAGCTGGATATGATCCAGTGAAGAATGGGTGCCGTAACGCTTTTTCTGGAGTTATCCTCACCTTTGGATCCCATCTATTAGACAGAAAAATATGAAGCTAAATATAAAGATAGAGTTTATACCTCATTTTTGACCCTTAACACCGCTGCCTACATCGCCCACGTAGCGGATTGCGTCTTCGCAAATGAAATCTTCTGATGGTGTAACTACTTTGGCGAGAATACTCAATTGTGAAACCGTAACGCTGCACAACTACGGTTTTGATATTGCAACTGCCAATTGTGATTGCGTTGCAAATGAGAGCAACTCGTCACAAGGTACTACTGATATATTTGTACATATTGCACGGATTGTAACTTCTGATGCTTGATGTAAAAATTAGGATAGGATAGAATTTACATATTTAGCGGAAAGTCGATAAGACGGCTTAATCATAATATGGCAAACCACGGCCTCTCGTTCGGTTACCCGCCCACACGGGATATGGGATTAGTTAGTTATTTTTTTTCGGAAGCATGCATTTTATTTGAGTCACTTGATGGTAGAGGAAGCCATAACCATCCAGCGCTTACGTGAAGGGCGGCAAGAAGTCAAGCAATTTTCTCGCACATAATTATCCCCGACAGGGTTCGAAGTTTCGTAATCTTAGGGTGATCAAGGGTGCGATGGCAAGCGTACTCCTAACGCACGGCACGATTCGCCACACCGCCATAGTTTCCATGGTCTAATTGTAAACATGAACTTATCACTTATCTCTCTCGGTCCCAAGTGAGTAGTTCATGGCAGGTAAATTACGGCATGGTAGTGGAATAAATAAATAATAAGAACTCACTCCAGACATCTTGCAATTAAATCAAACAACATTGGATCCATTCCGTTCAGGACTTTGGTCAAAGGCTTGCGATAAGGTTTACGGTGAAATCCGTTTTCAGTTGTGTAACATATTGCTTCTGTTAACGTAAATACCAAATTATAAGATATATAAAACTGTTGGTAGCTCCAAAATTTAATGGATGCCTTTATTCACCTGACTAAAGCTAGCAATTACAGTTTCTCATATTTCATAAATCGAACTCGCTATGAAAAATGGGTAACTGTGCGCTGGCTTTACACAGTTCTTTCATAAAGACTGCGTATATATCGTTAAATGAAATCAGTAAAGAAAATTGATATTCAAACAAAAGAGGCGTATAGACAACAAAAATATTAAAGTTAAATTTAGAATGAAGACATTGGTCGCAAATGATTGTTGTTATCATTAGCTTGAAGCAGAGATGGGACTCGGGGGTTTCACAAGGGTTCGTACGAACCCATCATTGTGTTTAGGGCCTTAATTCGGCATAGTTTCCTGGAATGAGGGAACCTGTTGTTAGTGAGTTCAATGTAATGAAGAAGAACCCGTTCTTAAAATTTTGAAGCGCGTCATTGGCTAAGAAGGACCGTGGTTCGACTGCATTGTTCCCTAAAGATCCAAATTTGGTATCACAATGAAATGCGCAGGCAAAATAAACGCCTACTTACTTGCATAGATTTTCTTTCTCCGAGATTTTGCAATCATGTATGTTGGTGGAAGGCCGATTACTTCCATCATTGCTGCCAGTTGATCGGCCTCGGTTTCCCCAAAGAAAGGTGGAACACCCAACCAGAACTCTGCCAAAATCACTCCGACACTGAACATGTCACACTGGGGAGTGATCGGTAAACTCAGAATAACCTCTGGTGCTCGGTAATAACGAGTTTGGATGTAATACTCAGGGCAGTGATAATCTGTACAAAAAGAAAACATTGTCAAATTTGTGATTCATTTACTAACACCAAGAATAAGAATCAATGGAGTGTCTCAAAAAGTTAGTGTTCCACACTTGTCCAATTTTGCCCCGCACTTGTCCCACTTATCTCAATTGTATGAACCTCACTTTATATGCTCACTCTGGCCACAAAGTATTGTATATATATATATATATCTTAACCCAGAACATAGCATTAATTCTACTTCTTTTTCTTACTATAATTCGTTTGTTTCACGGCAGGCCAAAGTGGTGTAACAGTTATTAACTTGATCATTCTTAATAGCTGTAACCCCACTTTTGGTTCAGAAAGGTGGGACACCACGTATTTGAAACACCAGAAGTCACGCGGTTTCTTATCGTCTTACTACAAAAAAAAAAATTTATGAGAAGATTTGGTGATTTAACCTAATTGTATAAGCATTGCTGTATCTTTGCTCTAATCAATTACAATTTTATGGAATAAATTCAGCTTTTTGTTTTTATTGTGTGCGAATATTGGCCATTCAATAAATTTTATACAACGCAAAAGCAGCACTCGGAACTTCATTAATTTCAGTTAAGCTTTTATGCTTATGAAGGAATTATAGTGGCTTGGTCGTTGAGCATCAAGAACTTGAGTGAATTGGAGTGAAATATATTGAACACAATCTTCTTTACCTCGAATTATGACTCAACGCCGTACGTTTAACCTTTGTAGTTTCTTTAGCATAGTTTCGTTAGCGTTTAGATGTGATTAAGTTTTTATCTTTCAATTTCGGATTGAATATTACATCACAAATGTTTCATCTTTCGGATTCTGGCAAGCGTTTACCGTTGTTTAAGGAAGAACTAGAGCGCAGTAAGAATCACGTTCAACTAGACAGTGTTTCAAATTAGCTGTTGGGCATCACACTTTTGCAAAGGCTATTTATGTTGCTGTTTGTTTATATTACAACAATTAAACAGCAAAATTATTTGTTATCGCTGACCGTGCATTCTAAAAATTTCATCAATTTTTAATGGCAAAAATGGTGTATATGTAAAATGTTGGATTAAGTGGCATTGTTAAAGGTACATTGTCCACATATGTCCCATATGTGAATATCGAGCGCTTCGCTTATTTTCGGCGTTTATTCCCATGCGAATCGCTTATTAGTACCCAACCAATGTAAGACTATGTTTATGCCAATGTCTCTTTCACCTAATTTTACAATAAAGACTTCTAGATAGTGTTGGGTTGATGAATTCTACGAACAACTCTTGGCATTTGCATTGTTGAACACTGACTACTATTTTCGTATCCATCTGTATCACTGTCTATTATATTGATTTTTCATTATCAATTAACAGGAACTGCGAAACATTTGCTAAAAATAAAAAAATCAATTTCACTGTTACCTTCCGAGCCAGGGATACAACTTATTCCAAAATCTGCTACTTTTAGAAGTTGTCCTTTACTTTCATTATTCTTTCCGTATATGTACATGATGTTGTCCTGGAATGAAGGAAAGAGGAAATATTGAGTAATGATTGAAGAAATTGTAAATTCAAGAAACTCGAAAAATAGCGATAAACAAGGAAAAAAATCATGTCGTGGTATTGAAAGTGAGAAAAGTTAAATTTAAATGAATAAATCAATCTAGTTTATGAGATTATAGAATTGATTGATTAAGTATCGATTGATTATCGAATAATTAGCTTGAAACAAGTCAAACGAAATTTCGTTTTTATAAAGTGGACCCCAAGGGTCGATTGAGTAATAGGGGTGATTCTAACTACGGTTTTTAAATCTTTCAAATATTTCGATACTGATTTGATTCAAGTTGGATCTTGCTAAAATAAGATTGGAATTTTCTAAGCTCTCTATAAAACTAGTACAATCCTTGTCAAATTGAATAAAATTGAACGAAGTCTAATAACTTCATTTCAGTTTTTTACGGATTTACAGAAAGAACGTGTCTTCAGGTATTGGATGTATTCACAGATTTAATTTTAATCTATTTGGGACCAACTACGCCTATTCACGTAGATATAAAGAATAAGATTAAATTACCGGTTTTAAATCTCCGTGCACAATATTGAGTTCGTTCAGATAATACATTGCTTTTATGATATCGCTGGAGAATTGCCTCAATATATGAGGATCTCGTACTGGGTGTCCCAAGTAGTGACGATCAACGGCGTGCCTGCGTGGGAAAAAGTTATAACATAATTACAGTACTGTATATCATGATATGTTATGAAAAGTAATAAAATTAGAAACCAGCAATTATAAGATATATATGGCAGCATGCCTGATGTAGTCAGAGATTCGCTGGGCAATATCAAAATGGTGGTTTAACTTGACCACGACGACAAATCAAAGGCGACTCGATAAATCAGGCTTGTTATAATTAAATGATTCTTCAAGTTGTGGGCAAATAATTGAAATGGTCCATAGCACGGAAAAGTCTGTGACTACTGTTATAAGACGGGCCAAATACGGGGTTAAGGCTCAAAGTACAGGCGATGGCTGGTATCGCCCGTGCAAAACAGGAGTGAAATAGAAAATCGTGTATCAACACCATATTTCACTTTTAAAAATATCTAAAAATATGTAGGTATCAACAAATATTGTAAGAACATATTGGTCTCTGGTTTAGTTTGGGATAAATAAACTCCTATAACTATAAGCTTGCAAATTGGAACTTGCAAAGAGAATTTCAGCGATTTAGGTCATCTGTAGGGCTGAGTGAAATATCAGTGGACTATTGGAGTCGAGGTGAATTCCTCCTTGAAATATTTTGATTGAAGCCATTTTTTTAAAATCAAATTCTGATATGCGGACTGACTAAGCGATGGATTCTATGTTTGGTTATGTGTCTGAAGGAACCGTTAAATCAAGAGTCACATAACTTTTTATTGTTCTTGTTTCTTTTGTTCATTACATCAGCAATTTCCGAGGCAAGATTGAGAAAAAGGTAATCCTTGCATAGAGTAGTCAGTAAATAATTTCATTTTACCCGAGTAATTCCATGACAATGCACCAATGATTACGGAACTGAAACGTCGCGATCATTCTCGAAAAATAATTATGATTTGATGCATATTTTTCCAAGTATTCCATCATTCTGACTTCTCTCAGAAAATATTTTTCTTCTCTAAAAATAGAAAAATGAATTAAATGGAGGGGTCAATTGAACGCGGGGGAATGAAATCAAATTAGAGTCAATTGGAAGGCACTAGAATCCACGGTGAGCAGTAAATGAATTACAGTGGCATAACAGCATATCTCAAGAATGTTGGCATAGTAGCTTTGAATCTAGTCAAACCACCGCGTTTCGTATCACAAAATGGAAACTCGAAAAAAAAAATGTTGTTTATATAAATGATATTTGGTAATCAACAATTATCAACTTTGATGAAAATGAGAAATTTAGTTGTACCATGCAGAGTTATTGTCAACAATTTTATTTCAGAAGTTTGTCAAGCTTCAATTTTCTCCCTATCATGCTAAATGGCGAAGTTGCAATGTTTGCGTTAATTTTCAACAAGAAAATAAATATTAGGCGCATAAATTTTACTACGGGTTGCAGGTTGTTTAAGATTCTCGGATAAATTTCAACCTATTTAAAAGTACGACGAGGAATACATTTAATAAGGTCTAAATTCATTTGTTTATTAATTTAATTTTTTGGTTTGGGTCGATCTCGCTGTTTCAAAGTCTCATATAAAATGAAATTAAACTGAACATACTCATCTAAATGCATGATCTTCAGAGCTACGTCTCTGGCAATCGGGTTTGACCAATCTCTTGCCAGGACAACAGCACCGAATGTACCAGCATCAACATACTTCAGTATTTCATATCGATAACCTATGTGATCGCCTATCACCTGAAATACAAAAATGTTGTAAACAAAACTCGGGCACTTTGATGACGATAAAGTAAAAATCAATAAACAAAATTCCCCCTCTTACTTTAAATGCGCCATCAATGTTTTTTTTTTCATTATATTAATCATTTAAGCCAATTGAAATTATTTTTCGTGAATACCATAGAAACAAGTACCTTAGACTAACGTTCCAAAAACACCTAATCTCTAGTATTGTGTGTAGTACATATGAAATCTCTTTTGTTACAAAAATAAGTGGTGAATGGATCTGTAACCGTAAAAGGTTCCTTGTTGAGATGGGAATTTGAAAATGAAACTAAGTTGAGCAATTCATATGGTGTGGGCCATATTAGAATTCCTATAGTTTAGTATTTTATATACACTAAACTTTTAAAATAATGGTAAATAGCTTTGTACTAACTTTTTGAGAAGCCATATTTTGAAAAATAATCAAAAATTGATACCGTAACATTTTTAGATTTTAATTAATAATATTTAGTGATTAAAACGAAGAAATTACATTTAATTGATTGATCTAATTGTATTATACTATCGCTCGGTTTAAATATATATATTTTTATTTCAAATTTCAAATCTTACCACTTTATAATGTCCTTCCTTTTCCGTTCCTGCATCAAAATCGAATCCAAAATTATTGCTTATGTTTTGTTGAACTCGAGTTTTGTTTGCTCCAAGTCCGAGATAATATATTTTTGGATAATGAAAAATCTCATATTTCTCCCAAGATGGAAGATCATCGCCATATTTTCTGACCGCATCTAAATAAGTTATGAAACTGATAATTGTAAATTCGTTAAATTAAATAGGATGGAATATACGTAATACTGTAATATTACTTCGTAATTACCATATTAACTAATATCCTCAAAGTTGTATCCGCTTCTATTAATTAAATCCCATTGCAATGAAAAGAAACATGCTAAATTAACTGAATTTTAATAGTAATCACGACTACTATTAAAATGCATGGACAGTAATACATTATTCGATATATAATAGTTTTAAGGCAGATCGTACTTGGACAAAACTAAAGGTATATAAATCAGTTTTAATAATAATTGGAGTTCCCTAAATATAATATTTAATTTTATTTCCTACTTCCTTAAATAACTTAATTAATTAAATACTAAATTCATATAAGTTGGGTATATTTTAGAAAATTGGGTGGAGATTCTATATATTCTTGTACCGGGGATGTTTAATTTAAGAAATGATGATTTAATTAACGACATTCTGGTTCCAGACAAAATTCTATAAATAACACAATTTCTAATAGACTATAATTTTTTTAAAAGGCATTTGAAATACTGTATTTTTGTTGAAAAGACCACTAATTTAAGTGCGAAAGCATCGATTTAATGGTATAAAAGTAGTGATTTAGTTTACCGTGGTGAAAAAGCGTTCCGAATACTTGTAAAATAACACATTCTTACATTGTGACGTCATAATCGAATGACCGAAATTATTTATGACGTTCCATAAAATCTTACGTACAGCACAATGGTTGCTGAGAAAAGAAATCATTCCAAAAGCTAATGCAACATTGAAATATATATAATAACTGAATTGTGATTTCATCGACATTATAGCTCATCAAATTTGAAAGTGCCGATAAAAAAAGATTTTCTTAAGAATTTTTGTTGGGACGCCCGAAAATTTCTAGATATTTTCAAAATTACCGGTAATCGTATTAATATTTTAAAAGCAGGGAATATTATACTTTTGTTTATTCATTAAAATTTAAGACCGATTTATTTATTGCAGAAGGGTGCAATATTTTACGATATTTAATTATATTAATTTCTCAATTTGATACATGAATATCGTGTTTCGGCCCCAGATTTCGTGATGTGTTTTGAATAAATGAACGGTGACGATTAAAAGTATCGAATACCGTGATTTCAGGCAACGAGAGAAATATCTGAAATTCAAATGAAATTAACGAATTCGTGACTCACCTTCTGGAGACATGGGAAAATCATTTGCTCTTCCAAAATTCGCAATTCTGCTTCCATTAATTTGTGAACGAGTGAACGATTCCAAGTTTTCAGATATGTAATACTTGATTTTGCTGTCATTTGGCTGGAAAATTGTTTTATTAAATTTTTGATTTGTATTTCTATTTTCAGGTATTTTTTCCGTGGCAATTCCTTGATTATTTTCGTCGGGTTTATTATCGTCGTATTCTTCAGCGTCTTCAGCAATTTCTGGTTCATCTTCTTCCTCGTTTTCACCGTATTCCTCGATGGTTTCAGCATGAACGTCTCCGTTATCATATTGCGGCTGTTCGTCATCATGTCTCGTGTCAAGTTTCAGGTTGAGTTGAAAATTCTGCGTGGGATCATCTTTTTTGTGATTATTCTGTCTGCTGTCAGAGAAAATGAATAATTGAACTTATGTGTGGAATATAGTAGTGTAAATTTAGTGGGATTCCACAGTAAAAAAATCAGGGACTTAATCAATATATAGCACACTAGGTTCAAGTATGACAGGTAAAAAATGCGGCAGAGAGCGGTTGGTTCATTTGCTGTCATTCTTGGCTTGGCTCATTTCAGTAATGAAAAAATCTTATACGCCGTAGCGTGATTCCACTGTAGGGCTGTTAAGTGTAAAGTAAATGGTTCAACTTTTTCAGTAGTTTTTATTAAAGATATTTGTGTTACGTACGTCCGGTTAGTATATTCAGCCTAAATTTTTCACATTTGCTTCGAGTTTGAGAAATTTTAAACATATGAAAAATTAATTAATATTGAATTAGGTTTGCAAAGCTACAGTCTGGTAAATTTATTTAATTTTATCTTTTTTTTTCAGGTTACATCGGACATAAATCACTGAATTTCGATATTACTGTCAAAATTGGCCACACATGTCGTCGATGATTTTTATAATGAATGCGGTGAGACACCACAAGCAGCAGGGATCTCCTGATGCCTGAGTATTCCCAGACAGTTCGCATAATGAGGTCGAATTATCGGCTTTTCAATGAAATTGTTTAGTCTGTGATCAGAAACAAGAAGAGACTCAACTTACCACTGTTGAAAATACCCAGATAAATTGACTTTGGAAGATATGTTAATTGAATTAAACCGGGCGGATGCCAAAAACTCCACTATGTTGGCGCTCAAATTCAACCATAAAGATCGTACATATCTTTCAAAAAGCAACAGGTTCACTCATACGTAGACTACATACAACCGGCTGCCCCGATGTCCTTTGAAGCGGATTTATAACAGTATATTTGCAGTATATTTAACACACTGTTTGTCAGCATGTTTAAATGTTGAATATTCCGTGGGGAATAAATGTGAATGTCAAACTGATTACCGAAGTTCAGGATTTTGAAAATAAAACCGCGAGACCCAAAAACGTGCTAATTGTCCCTATGGGCTAGTTATAAAGATATGAAAGCCAAGTTATAAAAAAATCCATTTTAAATAGGTCGAAAGTTAATAAAGACAACTTTTGTATAATATAGTCATTTGAGAAAATATGTTTTCATGTTTTTTGAACTGTGCGTTCTGAACTGAACTCCATAAATAGATTTCAAATCTCGCGAGAACATCACTCATGCATCCATTAAACTGGAAAATCTCGTTACAATTGGAAACAGCGGTTTCACGGTCTCAGTTCTATCTCTTACCCCATAAAGTTGAAGATATCCTGTTTATTTGGGTATATCATAAACACAATATTCTGTTTTAAACTGTTTGATGATAACCTTCTGACCTCTCGTCTTCATATCAAATGATTATGCTTTGATTTTGTATTGTTGGCTATAGGCCCATTATACATTGATTATTACATCACAATGTGGCCTAACACTCTTTTCATGTTGAAGTTTCATGATCAGTGGCCGACTCTCAAACAAGTCTCACCACCTGTGGCGCTTCTATATATATCTATGTTTTTAGCGCGTTTTCATCAATTATTTTATAAACCAAGTTTAACAATAATATAGCCAGCAAACCAAGGCAACACAATAAAAGCACAGTCAATTTATTTTAAATTATTGTAGTCATCACAATAGATACACATTAAACGTTTTTGCACTACTCCGTGGCTCAATAAAGAAACCCGGTTTGGGAAACCCTACTCCAATGTGTCAGCTCGTTTAATTGCTAAGACACAACTCGATAAAATGATACGTAAGGGTTGTTTTGAAAAGTTAATATAAATATATACGCATATGGTATATTTGAATATTTTAATATTCAAATTAAAATAATATTTCAAGTTTTATTAAACGAAAGTTTGTTGAAATTGGAATAAACAGAATCGTATACATAAAACATATCTACCTTTCTTCAATTCCTGGATAAGCTTCCCTAGATTGAGCTTCTATATCATCCATAAAATCTAAATAATGAAAAAAGTAATGATTGACACTTCTATGCCACAGAAAACTGGAATATTAAAAAACTGATTTCTCAGTAAATTATCGTCAAAAACAATCGATGATATTAACTCACCTTTATTGTACGTATTTTGTTTTTTTGAATCTTGAACATCAGCATCATCGTAATTATTTCCCCCAAAGTCTTCTTCAGGATTAGGAACAGTAGTTTCACGCAATTCGGCTTCATTTTTATCGTCTATTAAAGAATTCTCATCCCAAGAGTCGGGAATATCTATATCACTATTTTCAATAATTTCATTTTCGTTTGCTATCAAGTCCTTTTGGGTCACAGGGTCAGACTTTGTTGGCGGCCAATTGTCTTCTTCGATGACTAGTTGCCCATCTACGCCAGAGTCCCATTTCGGAGGTGTTCTCTCTCCAGCTAAAAACTTATTCCTCGTTTTAGAAATTTTATTGAGAAGTTCCCTACTGTCGTGCCACCTTGCGGTTAAAGAGCGACGAATGACGTCAGGAGCTACGTCATTATTTGTTTCCTTGGCTACTGTGTGATGTAAAAATGTCCGAACTCTTGCAATGCCATAAAATGAAAAGGCAAAAAACGAGAACAACAGTAATGTATAACGAACTTTGATTTTTGCACGGAAGCACAACATGACTCCTTGTGATCATATGTGATAACGTCTCTCACGTGAAACTTTGCATCCTGAATTGAAATTCCCCGTTTGTACCGTATATTCGTACAGAACTGGAGGCGTCTTATTGCCTATTTTTTTCTAACTTTTGCTATGAAAAAACAAAGCATTATTAAAACACGTTAATTTTTTTTCTAGTGATTTTCAACTCAATTTGAATAATGCAAGCTCAAGTAAGACAAATTATCAAAACGTAACTATTCTGTTGTCGGAAGGAAATTATCTTTCAAATTCTCCTCTCAAATATATCTCACACTCATAATGATTAGGGCTAGACTTTGTGTTCACGAATATAAGATATTTACACTTTATATTGCATATTACACTTTTGCCCGTAAGGTCCTATACAATTACCTCCCAGATACTGTTTTTGACCCAATATTGATGATACATTTATAAAACAAAACGTTTTTTTTTCTATGTAATCAAATTGAAGACTTTGTCTTCTTTCAGAAACAGCAAACTCTATCTCGAGGTATGCCACAGAAAGTAGAAATGCTTCTCATTTATATTTTACAACTTATGGCCAAAATAAATACCAATAATATAGTTCTCCATTCTCTCATCACTAATGCTAAGAACAAAACAAACTTAAAATTCAACGCTCAAAAAGGCAGACATTTTGGGGGAAATGTCAAGTGTGACACAATAAGTTAAAATTTACGTATATCCATGCATAAACACACAAAAATAACGTGAAATTCCAAGTCCATTGAATATTTAACAATGTTCACGCCTGTCTTCGTGATTATTTATCACAACGCGTAGAGAAGAACTTTTCAATTCATATAACGGTGTGACCAGTTGGATTTGACAACGCTAAATTATGGCTAGTTATTGCGCTACTCGAGAGATGAATACACAATTGAAAAGGACAGTTTTTTTTGTACGAAAAAATAGGTAATATTTCATTTTCAAAAATTGTAACTTCATATTAAAGTGTTTAAACATTCTGAAATCTTCAACATTGTACACCAAACGCTAAAACGATAAATTGAATAAATCAAATCAATTAATTAATTAACGCGAATCTCGACTGGAATGTTTTTTATGTATTTTTAAGCATTTTAACATTTTATTGTCACATCTGTATTTAATATAAGCAGCAGTCTTACGCAAATCTTTTAAACTTTACTCAATCTACAAGACCACCTGCCATTCTGTCCTGAGTGGTCTCCAAGGAATTTGGCAAATATTTTTTATAAAAAAATCTGGCATGTGTGATGTATCTATCATACAAAGTGTTGTTTTTTCTGGTGAAAAAAAAAATAATCAGAATTATTGCTTTATTAGAAATAGTTTACGGACTAATATTAGGAATGCACAAATTACAGCATATAATATGTATCGTTTAACTCGACTGCAAATTTTAGTCTTTTTAGTCCTGTTGTAAATACTGTTCAAAAAAATAATAATTCAAGACATAAAAATTAGGTCGCCAGACGCAAAACCAACAATCTATGTTTAACGCGCAGAAAATTCAGACTAAAAATATCAAATTTCACCCATTTTCAACTCACTCAAAATACGCTGTAAATTCTATGAGTGACATCCTACTATTATCGGCTAATTGCTAAAAACCATAATCTGTCTTTTTGTTAGTCTCAAATACAAACACGCATTAGTTATCTTGTTACCCTTCGACCACAGAGGTACTAATTGTACCGGCATTTGGAGGTGATTAGTTGATTGATAGAACCCAAATGTACTTACTACATGACAAGGTTAAATGAAATACGGAAGTTTAAAAAGCGAGTAAGACTCACAAAAGTCTGAAGTTTTGGAAGTTCGCTTTACACACTTCACTGTATACACCTCAAATGTTAAATATATAAACGAGAAATGTTTTCAAAATAGTATGTTTTAGACGCCTGGTAAAGAATTATACTCATCTCGCGACGTAAAAAGTTATAAATAGGAAGAAAACTGGAATACTAGCCAACTCCGACAAGTTCGTTGAATACGAATTCAAAAATTCAGTTTCCTTTTTAGAAAACCACAGAAAGAAGTTGTAATGAAGTGTAATATACAGAATGTAGATAAATATTTTCCCATCAAATCAGTGAATATATGATTACTCTCCTTTCCGCAGTTGAATAAACTGCAGTTTTCTTTCTGCAGCGTCGAAATAATTAAATGACACGCTCTTCAACAATCATTCGTCTATATATGTAATAAATCGAAAAAACCTTACCGAGACGAAAAATTCGTTATGCTTATTCGATTTCATCTTTTGTTTGTGTTTTTATAATACGACCTTAAATTTTATAAAAAACAATTGAAAAGTTGTTGTCTAATAATTCACAGCGTATAATTGCACCTGATGGTGAAATAAATTAATAAGTAAACTGGATTTCATTGACATCTGAATTGACTTGTATTCTTAGAAAAAGGTTGTTATTTTTAATATCGTGTTACAGCACAATATAGAAGTCTAAAAAACATAATAGTAATGTTATAGTATTTTGAAAAACTCTTTTATTAATCACGTATATTGTAAGTTCGTCCAACTCTAGCTTTAGGCTTGCAAAATATCTCCTATCAACAAAATTCACTTGCTTCACTTTGTCTATAGTTGCAATGATAAACCTTGTTCGTCTAAACTTATTCCCACGCTCAGAGTCTCGCTTTATCAACGAAAAGTATAGTCTATGGCTATGCTATAGGGTTTTTCTCTAGAACCCTTCCTTCCTACCCGTTCTCTGACATTTTGACTTAAATTGTTTTAAGTCTAGCGTGAACTATCATCTGTTGACATCTTTATCGCGAAGATATAAGTCCGTAAATAAACTCCGCGTCTGCGTTTGCTTCAAATATTTTAATATTTATCTTTCTACTTTTCGTTGAAAGCTTGCTTTGAACAAACTTTTTTCAGGAAAGATCTAATTTTATTTAATTGAATATAATAATATTGAATATATTAAAATTCAATTGAAATATACTAACTATTTGATTAATTGCAAACTTAATACCTATAGTTACACATTGATCTACTCTCGGTAACAACGATCAGCCAATTCGCCAATTTCAATCGAACAATACCAAGCAGTAAGTAGTTATCTCTAATAATATGAGTAATAGTAATCAACAGAAAATATATTTAATCATCTTTCACTTAGTCATCGTAATTGTTTCTGATCTGCTCTTTCCCTGTTTGGTCGTTTCTCGTAGTGCAGTTTACCATGTACACTGACCAAGTCTGTTCCTATGTTTAGTAAGATTTATCCTTGAATTTTACGCTCACGGATTCACTTATGCAAAGAGCAAGAAAATGTAGATCGTTTCGTGTAAACCCGAATGATCATCAAACTTTAGAATCACTTTTGTCGCGACATAATACGCTGCAACACATGCTTTACATTCTGGTAGCATCGATCTCACATTTTAAATACTTCTAAATGTTGAGATTACGACAAAATTATTACAACAACAAATACAACCGAGGCCGCGATGACAATTTGCCCGCAGCCATGATAAATCGGATTCTGTCTACAGAGAACGAGAGTTCATTTTTTTTAATTAAAAATTATAATGATTAGCAGAAATACGTAGCAATGCGTTTTTTATTACGACTCTTTATTTCAAATAACGATAAAACTACATGGTACTCACTGCTTTAATATTACGTAGAATGTATATATTTTAATCCTAATCCCAACATGATATTTTAGCGAAATGTCATGGCATAAACCCCCATTATGAGGTAACAAAAATATGTCACGGATTGCGATTGATAGCAAAACGACTCTCAAAGCATTATTGTTCTGGCCTTAAATATCAACAACACACAACAGTTTTACTTCTTCATTATATAGTCTAACATGGTATTTGTAAAATGAAAAGACCAGTTACGTTGAAGCGAATTTCCAAGTACTTCGACAATAATTGGATATGGTCAAGTTCAATTTAAGTGCATCTGATTAAGTAAGACATCGAAAGTACTCCGAAAAAGCATGACAAAGAAAGCTAAAATGCTTTTTGTTGCGAACTATCTTGAGTACAGCGCCTTTCTACATTACCGGATTTTAACCCATCAGCACATCTTCAATTTGGCTGTCAAACAAATATCCCACTGACTAGATGGGATGTACAGACAACAAGGTCAATTATGGTTCGATAATAGAATAAGCCTAACTCTGTAACTCAGCCTATTCACTCTGACTCATTTATGAAAAATCTGGCATGGGGTCGACGTAAATACAACCCACACATGGTAATGGAACTTTGCTCACTTATACTTGCGCATTCCGATGGTGGTATTGGTTGTTTCCTCAAAACATTGAAATACATTTGCTTATAATTACAACAAGAAATCTATTTTTACTCGATAAAACATGATCATGGATAAATTTTCGAATACGATTGCCTCAACTGCTGTTAACGCTCGTTCGGTTCTTAGTTGGGCAAATATTTGCGGGTAGAAACATATCATTAAAAGACAAATGGGAGGAATTAACAAGTTCATTTCTGTATATTATAAGCATTACTAGCAAAACAATGTCCGTAAACTATACATCACGATTTTTCGTTTTTGTTTCGTTTTTCTAAAATCTCTTTTTAGTTTTCAGAAGTAGTGAAAATAATAGCCTTCTCGAGTTTGATGACGATATACCTGGTAAGGCTAGTGTTTAATTAAAAAGAATCTGATGTAAAGTTACGCTTTCCCTCGTAGACTAATGCATGTTTACACATAAATATATGTATGTTTTCTTTTTTTAAATGGGGAAACTTCAGAAATATAACTATCAGTTGGGATTACGTGAAATTACCTACCTTTGCTTGCTCTATGACTTTATGGAACCGTATGTGTATAATGCAAGGATGCTGTAACTAAAATAAAGATAACTATTCTCTTTAAACAGCAAGACTTGAATGAAATGGAATAGTTCAGAAATATGATCTAAAACTGTTGTTCGAAAATTAAAGAAAACTTAATAAAATCTCTCCAATAAATGATATATTTTAAAAACTTGCTTTAACTCGCATACGAAAATATTGTATCACCAATATAACTTTTAATTCACACAACATAAAGACGCGCTGTTTCAACGACCTCAAGACATATAATAATACCCTTGCTACGTCAC